AGACTCTACATCTTGGCAAAATGAGACCGCCTCCCTCCTTAGCTCTATGTGCAGCTTCACATGTTGCAAAACCTATAACCCCCTGCGACCTCTGAGTACAAGGCTTGGGGTTTCTGAGTTGATTTATGTTTGCCTGTTTTACCACAGTTGGACACTTCCATTTCATCTTTTCATGGGGGAATTAGCCGACTTTTCAGGAAACAATGCTGGCCACCACTCTTTTCAATTGCAAGAGGGGAGACTTTGGTGTAGACAGTGAGATGCTCATGAGGACATCTGTTACCTCTCTGAATTAGAAACATTTCAATCTTATGCTCTCTTGAGTTGTTTTTGACAATTTTTAACTAGATCTCCCCTACCTTTTTAAAGCCTAATTCTATTTTAATGCCCTCTATTAAGATAATGAACTGGGATGGCAGCACACCATCAAATGAGAGAATGTCTGGACTTTATTACTACTAACTCACACTCCTGGGAACTTCAGAGAAATTGTAGAGATTTCTTGGAGTGGCTTTTTTCTTCTTTTTATGCAAAATCTAAGGTCAAGGCAAGGTCACAGCTATATAATAATTGAACTTATAGTCTTTCTTTGTCCAGCTACTACTGAAAATGTGTAAACATCTTATTAAATCCTGAAAGTCATGTTACGTGATTTAATGAGGGTTTTAGCACAATTGTTTTTGTAGCCCCTCTAAAAATGATGTGTCACTGAAATACAGAAAAGTGGCTAAAACAAACTCTCCAAAGTCAATCTCATGAGATTTTAACTCTTCAGGTCCACTTATACTGCATAGTAAGAATTACACAGCAAATACAGAAATGAGGAGGACATACTGGATTCAGAAATAGTAAATGGCTTTTAGTTCCTGACTCAGACTTCTCAACTCAGGACATAAAAACATACACTGAAAAGTTTAATAATGTACTATCAATAATTACGGGATCTGTGGTCCAATATGAATTCTAGTTTGTATGTCTTCCCACTTTGGGAAGGAAAATAGTTACAAAAACCAAACCATAAAATAGACAGTTTTTTTTGACACAATAATGCATAACTTCATAACATTTTAAGATTCTCAATATCTTGTACCTTCTTATGTTCTTTCATTATCCGAAAAGTAATTACAAAAAAATAATGAAACTGGAATCTAACTAAAAGGTACACAGTTGGTGCTAACTCTCATTGGCAATATATATTATATCAGTTCTTGAATATGAGGCCCTTGAACTGCTAATAAAAATATTTAAAACACAGATCTACAACAAATTGTGTTGCAAATCAGGTTATCATTATCTTGTATAAACCATGAAAATTGGAATCATGTGAGCAGAAGGTTAGAGTAATTCTCCATTCTCATTATAAGCACAGGTGTAGCACAAACACCATGTGAAATAACCAATTAAAATGAAAAAAAAATTTGCTTTTTCATTAGCTGCCTTCACTGCATGACCAATTAGAAAATTATTTAATATTAATATTCTGCATATACCAAAAGTAATTTTCATCATAACTACATAGATAAGAGAGCAAAAATAAAAGCTCTTTATCGATGGTACTGTTCACAGTCTGCTCTTACAGGAAAAGAAATCAGTTAACTTACTTTTGTAAGACCCTTTTAAAACACAAAATTTCATGTATACGATTTATACTATTTACTTAAAAATAGCAAAGAGCCATTTTCAACAGACAAGGAGCCAAGACTCAATGAAATTAAGTGGCCTTTTGGAGGTCACATGTCACCAAAGAGATGTTAATAATTTGCAGAATGACACATCACTGGCAAATAACTATGAGCACCTTACTCTCTGACACCGTGATCAGAACATGGCCACTGTTGTGCCCCTCATCCACAACATTCCAGAATAAAGAGCTATCTAAAAATTAGCTGGTTCTGACTTAGTTACCACTGGCAGCAACTCTAATACTGAGTCAAGGAACATGTGTGAAGGTGAACATTTCATAGATTAAGAATTGTTAAGACTAGTACTGCTTGTATATATAGTCAGAGGTGAAGCTACTCAGAATTCAGACGCTACTCAGGGATTCAATGTACCGAAAGGCTTGCCTCCTTCACACTTATAATTGCAGACTCTCATTCATTATAACCAATTCAAGTTGGAGTCCACGGCTAGTCGACCCATGGAATCATAGGGAATCACAAGCTAGTTCTAGAAAGGGCTTTACTTCAGTCACAACACGAGTCTCCTCTATGGCATCCTCATGTAGATGGAAAGCCTCTGCTGGACTGTTTCCAATGTAGCACCCATTCCTGACCTGAGCATTCACTCCCTCTCTGGACAAGGCAAGGTGTCTTACTAGATTTCAAATCCTTTCACACTACAATTCCTTGGGATCATTTAAACAATTCTAATGTCACTTCCTTAGGATAGCATTTCAAATATTTAAACATAGCCACCACATACTATAGGTGCCTCTCTTCTCCCTAGGTTAAACATTCCCGGTTCTTAAAAAGTTCCGCAGAGAACACAAATCTTTCCATTATTTTGAGTCCACTTAGACCCCACACTGCTCAGTTTGCTGAGGGTTGTCCATGTCCTTCTCAAAGTTTGCAGTGCACAACACTAATTAGACTTATCCATGCTACTGTGGTGCCCATATAGAGAGCAAATACTTTACCACAACATCTTAGGTAAGTGCCCACAGGCATTAGGAGAAATTTGCTTTTTCTTTTTTTTGGTGGCAATGACTGTTTGTTTTCACTGATAACACAGATGTAAACTACACCAGGGTTATATAGATGTTAAAGTAGGAATACTTTCCTTAAAAAACAAAGCAAAATAAAAACACTGCATACCTAAGAAAACTTAATCACTTTGATCCATTTGACTACATTCTCAGGTCTACCTAGAACTTCTAATTTTTTCTATATTTAATATTAAAAATTAATATAATGTAGTGTTCTCAATTATATATTGGACATGTAAGCTCTCAGATCATTACTGAATTATTATTCTTATACTTTCATGAGCAACTCATTATCTGAGGTCATGGTGGACATTTTCATCTGAAAGGAACTAAGGAAATAGGAAAACATTTTCTTTTTTAAAGCAACATCACCTTTTTGTCTTAACATCATCTGTATATTTTATTCTCCTTAGTGTATTTTTCTTATCAACCCAGACCATCTCACAAGTATTCTTTCTTTGGAATTATGCTATGTACAGCAGAGCCATGTGTTTAGATGGCTTCAGGGGTAAATTCTGATATGAAAACATTTTCCTTCTGGGCAAAGTAATAAAATGACATTCTTGCTCCTCCCACTATAAGTCAAATGGAGGTCAGTTCCCCATCCCTCTATCTGTTTAAATAAACTGGTCCAGCTGTTTGTTTCTAAAATGCCCTTTGACCTTGTGTCTCATCCTCCCTGCCTTTGTGACAGAATGCTTTACTTTTCATTGTGGATGAGTCTAAATCATGAAGAATTTTCTAAACATTGAACAATAACAGCAACAAAAAGACCTTAGATTTGATGTGAACCAAAATGAACATGTTCCCTTCTTACGACAATGTAATTTTCTTTTTAAAAAGTATGTCATTTTCAAAAGTATCAATAAATTAGTCATCTTAAGCTCATGTGTGTTCGTTCTAAAATGTATATTTTTATATATTATTTAGATGTATATGCATATTATTCAAATATATATAATATCTAATATATTAGAGTTTGAAAATGCAAGAAATACAGTTTTTGAAGGACATACAGAAGAGAATAATGAAATTCATATTTGGATGTACAGCCAGACAGGGTGGTGCACACTGGTAGTCCACAGCACTCAGGAGGCTGAGGCAGGAAGATCATTGCAAGTTTGTGAATTCGAGGCCAGCCTACATAGCAAAACCCTGTCTCCAAAACAAAGATTCAAATTTGGATGTACAACAAAAAATATATGCTCCAAAAAGCCACAAAATAGTTTAGATAACATATAGTTATTAAATATAATCTAAGAATATTCCATATTGATGAGGTCTCTTTAAAAATTTTATTAATTTAAAGATGTAAAAGAATAGTTACTATTTTTCAATTGGTATCCAAATATAACAACCCTTAAAACTCAGATATAGGCTGTTAGGAATACATGACAATACAACATTTGGCTTAATTATTAAAATAAACAATTGCACATCTTCAATAGTTTATAATTCAAATTTTCCATAAACTGAGCTTTCAAAAACAGTAAACCTTTTAGTGAAGTATGCTTTCAGCTTAGAAAATGTCTTGCTTGCCTTTCTGAATTACATTTTGAACATCAAGGTAACTTTTAAAATTCCAATTTGCCCCCAAAACACAACAAAACACTTTTTTTTTTTTTTTTTTTTTTTTTTTTTTTTTTTTTTTCTTTTTTTTTTTTT